TGGGGGGGGGAGGCTGCCTGCGCCAGGTTCCCTTTTATAGCGAGGCTGCCCCCAGGGTGCCAGGGTGCGGTGCTCGGTGCGCTGCCCCATCGCCGGCCGAGCCCGCACCCGTCAGCTGGGTGGCCCCAACTGGGTGCAGCCGGGCTGGTATCCTCGCGTGTGGCGGCTTCTTCCCTCCGTGTGCTTTGAGGGACTGCGGCTAACCTTAACTAGGGTTAAGGATATCACTTCCGGAGACGATTCTGTGCCCTTTGTTAACACTGGTAGAACTAGCAAGGTATGTGTGCCCCTCACAGGTGCGTAGCTGAGGAAGGAAAGCAAAAGAGTCTGACCGTTGATCTCTGTGAGCTGGAAGAATTAGAATTTGCCTTACTCTCTGCCTTTATTTCCTTCTTCTGGAGAGAAAATCACGTATAACATACGAGGGGGGATGTGCACCAATTCCTTATAATTACAGAGACGAATGCAGCTAAGCCACTTTAATAGTCATAGGTGTCTAATGCTTATTCCGGGAGTTGAGTTTGGTTTTGCAGTCTGGACTCAGCAAAAGAAAGAATCACTGACACCTAATTGAGGATTGTGTCGGTGGAGCAGTCAGGGTTTGAATGGCTGAATGAGTGAGTAGAGGTTCAGCTTCTTCCCATCTCTTGAGGTGGACAGAGCACGTTCTGTGTCAGGCACGCTCTAGTTCAGCTGCATGGAAAGTACTGAAGTGTGCTGTGGGATCATGGTGCATTGCGATTGCCGTGATATCAGCTGGACCAGAAATCCTGTTCAGCTCCCAGTAGTTGCTCTCGGAGTTTAATGGATAAATTCCTTTGACCTTTCTTTTCCTGTATATTTTAGATGCCAAATGGAAAACAATAACTGACCAAATTAACAAAGCTTTGGAGGTCTATAAGCCATGTGTGAAGGAGAATTGCAGCTGTCACCAAAGGTGAGAAACTGGTTTCCTTTTCCTGGACAGGCCCCTGCCCCTGAGAGGGAATACTCATTCTGGCACTGATGGGTGGGAATTAGCTATGGAATATTTGGGCTCTAAAGTGTCACACCTGCAGCCATCATAGGTCACAGTGCTTAGGAGGAGGAGGTTATTAATGGTACTGTGTGAAACGGTTTGGCTTCCAGCTTTCCAAGAGAAGGTGTGTCCGTGCGCAAACAGATCACTGTTCTTGTTGTCCAACTGAACAACGCAAACTGTGTCAGCGTCTTACATATGATCACACAATACACCCGTCCACGCAGCTGGTGATATTTCTGTGTTAATGATCCTCTTCTGCCTTCTCTCTCCATGGGATGTTGCTAACAAGTCTTTCTCTTGAGCTTTTAGAAGTGAAAGAGATCAGGAACATGCAAAATATTTTAAAATAACCAGATTAAGAAGGATTGTTAGCGAACACAGATTCATTTGGTCTGATATTGTGCTGTTCCCTGGTACTTTGCGTGCTGCCTGTGTCAGGACAGGGCTTCCAGTGGAAGAAGGGAGGAGAGAATTGGAGGAACACTGTTTGGAGAGAGTTTAAATCACTGCCTGTGAGAATTGGAGAGGCAGTGGATATTTAACTACCTGACTTTCACACGAGCAAAGCATGATCCAGGAGGAGCTCGTTCAGGAGCTTCTACTGCCTATTTGTAATTGCGGAGCATTATGCGGAGTGCTAGCACTTTAAATGTCGGCCTGATCTTCCCATAGTGAATTTAATGGAGAGAGCTAGGACCTTTCGTATGTGAATGCAAGACGTTTGCAGGTAGTACAAGGGTAGGCTAAGCTGCCTTGTAGACCTAGCCAGACCAAACTTCACATCTGTTTCTACTGACTGAGCATGACTTCAGTATGGAGAACTTACATTACAGATGCCTAAGCCATAACTGCTGTGTGGGTAGGGGCTGTAGGACTGGTTTTTGTTTTTTGGGGGGTTTTTTTGCTTTTTTTATTTTTATATATATATATATATATATATATATATACATATATATATATATATATATATATATAAGGGGGAGACGGAGTACAGGAAAGAGTCGAAATCCTAATTCTTCTGTCTTTGGGATCAGGTTTCCAAACACAGATGCCCAGCTTTAATAAGTCTCCTATTTAAAAAAGTATCAGCTGTATCATTTATTTTAGGGATGAGATTGGGTGCTATATTGGCTTTTAATATCAAGTGAGTCTTATTAGGCAGCTGTCTGTACACTGTGTTTGGAGCTTTTGATCTTCACTGAAATACTGGTGAGGAAAAGTCTCTTTCAGTTTAGTCTTCCAGTCTTTTTGCTCAGTTCCAATTCTGATATAACTTGAAGATATCTCCTCAGCTTTAAACATATATGCTGTCATCTCCTGCCCACCTTTGGAGGTTGTAACCATCTGGGAAGGGGTTGTACCCAAACTTGCTTCAGAACATGATAATTGATAGTAACAGGAAGTTACAGTTGCTGTGGGCTCCAAACCTAGTGTAGTTCATTTAAGGGTTGTATTCTGTAGTGACAGGCATTATAAAAGAAGCAAGAAAAATTATATAGCATGTACACTGTGTAACACTAAAACTCAGTTAATTTTGTTAGCTGATTTGGAGATCTTTAAATGTGCTGCAGAACACTGAAAGCCGTACTTTTCCACATGTAGTAGATTCTACTTGTGTCTGGTTTTGTGCCAGTCAGTGGCCAACGACTGAAGGTCCGAACTTGTTAGTGACGACTGGAAGGTAGTGACCTAGATTAACGCGACATGGTTGTGCCATGAAGCTCTCTTGCTTTCCTCCTGTTTTCAAGCACATTACGTTTCCATCCTTGCCCGACAGCTCTTCCTGTGGATGGCCCATCTGTTATGCAGCAATTTTTTAAAGTAGTTTTACAATTTTATACCTGATAAATCTGTGTAGTGTTGTATTAAACCAAGGCTTCAATGCCAAAAAGTAGGGAGGAATTCTCCATGGCTCTTTTAATCTGTCAGTTTTCATAACTGTTCCAAGCAATTAGATCTGAGCACCTTTAGACTAAATTTACATAAACTGCATCCTCCTTCTCCTGTCTTTCATTACATTAGGTTTAGGTTAGGTTTGGTTTATATTTTCATATTAGGTTTATGTTTTCATACCTGATTCCTGGAGCTCACTGGTGATGTACAGATGTCACAGAGCATACTCTCCTTAGGCCTGGTCTTCTGGACTGGCTTTCACTGCACACAGCATGATTGGAGGATGCTGCTTTTTGGGACTAGACTCTTGACTTCTTTTTTATGGTCTATAAATACCATACAATACCATATAAATGGTATTGTA